GCACTGTTCCTGAAGAACAGCCTAAGACCTTATCAGTTGGGGAGCTCTTACTAAATCTCAAAGTAAGTAACCCACATATCCTCGAGTAGTGTTTAGACACACTCAGAATATTCCAGCTGTCTCTTAAGCTGTTACCTCTTTCCATGTCCTCTTGCACATAGCAGGTTGACCAAGCTGCCTGGAATAGGTGAAGGATATTATTATTCTTACCATTATTGTGCAAGAACAGCATTTGGGTGTGATGAAATTAAGTTTTGTCATAGGAGTGTGTTTTGAGAACTGTACAATACATGGCTTATAACAGCTTAGTTCTGGAAACTTGCACAGATTTGTTAATTTTTAATGACAGTCTTCTACTGTAAGTAAGGGAGGATATTTCATCTGAACTTTGCTTGTTTAAGTTCTTATTTATGGCTTTAATTTTGTTGAAGGCATTTTAGCTGTAGGAAGTCAGAGGAATTGTCAAGAATTCCACTGCAAATACAGCAATAAGCTCTTTAGTTCTTTTCTAGAACTTGCTGCAAGTGCTGTGATAGGTCACACAGGAAGGGAAATTTATCTGCGGTTCACCTGTGGCTGGACACGTTGGTATTGTCACTGATGTAACAGGTGATGAATCCATGAGCAGTTACTGCTTACCTGAGTTCAGAGTGAGGAATTTCCTCATTTGGCTCTTTCATGTTGGAGAGAAACTATCCTATCAAAACACAGAGTAGTGAGGGATTTTTGTAAACTTTTGTAACTTGAATTTCAAAATAGGTCAGCTTCTACAGGGCAGTTCTCAAACATGTGCCTTGTACTTCTGATTTGCACAGTATTTGTCTGTTCCAGGATGCATCTACTTATGTATTGGAAACTGAATTGAAAAAACTGATGGCAAAAGCACCGACCCCAGATCTGCAAGCCACCATTGGCTATGTGGTCACTGCCCTTACAGACAGATGTAAAAAAAATCCAAAGTACTACCCTCGAAACTTCCTGCAGGAGATCGCTGAAACCCGGGACTTGTCCTACAGGTAGTGACTCTGCATTTTTTAAAGTGTAAGGAGTAGTCTTTAAAAAAAGTAGATATTAAGTTCTTTATAAGCTGCTCTTGAATTATTAGGATTTAATACCAAAGGTACTTATTTTCTGATGAAGTTGATGTTTTGCATAAAAATCTGTCTGGGGAGGAAGATTAGTACTATTACCTTAGTGGTCAGTGTAGTTCTTAGAGTGGACTGTGCAACCTATTAATTTAATATTCTTATAGTTTATGTCCAGATTTAATGGCTGTTGCTTTGGAGAAAAAAGATATGCATCTCTTACAAATCTGCCTAGAACGGTTTCCAGATATTCCCGAAGAAGTTACTTATGCTTGCCTGAAAACATTTTTAAGGTAATTTGAAATCAGACTTTCCTTTTTCTCTTCACCAAATTTTAGTCTATTTTTGTTTACATAATAAGCTTCAAAGATTTTGTTATGTAAGTTGAGGGCATTGCTGTTTTTAAAGCTAATAAATAAAAATGTTAAATGTCTGAAATTTTCTTCCACAGCATGAGTGAAGCCCATCTTCAAAAAATAGATGTAAATCTAGATTCTGTGATCTGTTACATTGATGTTGAATTGGACAATAAAGAATTTAAGACTGAAATTGTAGAAAATGGTTTCAGTGCAGAGATGGACCAAGACATGTGTGATACCAAAATCCCAAAGGAAAACCAGTCCAGGAGCGATGGTGAATCCTGCCCTGTTGGACTTCAGAAGGCAGCATTGCTGTATCCTCTGTGTGGTGAAGGGAAGCCAGGGCATTGCATGTGCTGTGGATGTTTATATTTGGTATTGCCAAAAGGCACATCCTCTGTTATTGCTGAACGTTTCTGGGCTCTCATAAGAGTGGTTCTACTCAGTAGGAAAACTGTTTAAAATAGAAATAGAAACATTTAGCTTTTAGAATGTATCTACACCAATTTAAACTTAGTTTTATTACACTTCTGCAATAATTTTTCTCTGCTTAAGAGAAAAGGTATCAGTGCTTTGGATATTTGCCTGTTAAAACACATCAGGGAATTACACCATTGCAGTGGACAGAACTGTTCAAGTTAAATCTATTATGATGGTTCAATTGCTGTAGATATTTCATGATAGAAATAAGATTCAAATAGAACTTCTCTCAAAAACCTGGAGAAATATTTTCTTTAGAATTAAGTCTGGTTTGTAGAAACTGGTATTTTTTTCTGCAATGTTATTCCCTTAATAGCACTGCACAGAAATGCTATTCTCCATTCAGCTTACACTGAAACATTTCTTTTGCCTCACCTGAAAAACCTTCCAGCTCGACAAGCTATCGTAAGTATTTTAACATTTAAAAGTGTAAAAACATTTATCATTTTGTGGGGAAGGGAAGAGAGGTTCTTTATGATATGGAAAATTCACCATTCTTTCAGGAGTCTTAATAACAAACTAATGCATGAAAATGAAATTAGGATGCCTAATAAGACTTCATATTAAGTAATATCACATTTTTCCACATACTTATATACATACTTATATTTTCTTGATATTTGTAGTCCTTGCTTATTTTAGAAGATGTAAGAAACTCTTTATGACTCAGCATACCTGGAAAATGTTCATATTCTGTTAGCAAGTAATAATACCTTTGCTTGACACAGATGCTTTTTAAGAAAGGTAAAAGACACGGTAATTTACAGAAGTTTAGAAAATATGAGAAACAAACTGTACAATCCCAAATGTAATACAAATCTAGATCCCCTCAGTTCAAAAAAAAACCCCACCAAATTCCCCCACTTCTCAAAATCTGAAATACAACTTCAAGAGCTGTGTGTACCTGAGAGTGTATATGAGTGGTTTTCCAGTGATTTTGGAAAAACCTCACACATCAAAACAAAGCTGATCTTAGCTCTGACACATCTCCTAGAACAGTGATTACCCCTGAATGTAATTTACACTGAATATTGCTGAGAATTTTCAAACATCCAGCTATGGGTAGTGTAAGAGAACCATAAAACTTATTTATAATGTGTAATATACAGACATCTATGTTGCATTCAAAAACAAAAACTAAATTTTAAAAAATCCTTACGAATATTACCATGTGCAGGACAAAACCTCTTGGTCTATTAAACGTTTGTCCTTTACAAATGTTCTGACTTTTCTACTTTTAGCTATTTCTTAGGTATTTATATTACCTATATGTGAAATGCAGTGAAAAAGTTAACACCACTCTTCCTGGAATACGCTCTCCCACGATAAATCAGGTGAGCAGCTCATTCTGAGAGCTGTGTTTCCTTCAGTTTCTGGGGTGTGTAACTTGGTGAGTAGTTGGCAATATCTAAACTCAATTGACTTCCACATTCATTTTACAAAATACTGTCTATCAGTGTAACCTGTATGAAGTCAGATGTAACACTTTCACAATCAAAACCTAAATATACCTTCAGATATGCCTGAAAATATAAACCCATGCATTTTGCATTAGAAGTTAAACGTCTCAGAGTTCACCTTTTAACGCCAAATGTTTCCAGACTGGGAAGTGTAAGTGTACATTTCTTGTTTGTCTTCAGATCATGGATTGGATGTGCCTGTTGCTTGATGCTCAATTCACTGTCATGGTGATGCTGCCAGAAGCAAAGGAGTTGCTTTCAAACCTGCATAAGTTTGTGAGAGCCCAGGTAAGTTGCGTCTTCTGGGATAATTACTTGATTTTCAGTTGGATTCAGAATATAGATGTTGAGAACGAGACAGACAACAACAAATTATATAGTGAATCAAATAATGTGTGTCCTCTGTATGCTCTGTCCTGAGCGTGAATTGCAGTTGCCTGTCTCATTTAGATTTCAAAAGCTGCTTTGTTTATTTAGTTTAAATATCTTAAACTATGCAGAACCACAGATAGTTCCACAGTATGATAATATATGAAAAGAATTAAAATGTATTTTACTATAAATGTCTCTGTTTTCAGGTACGGTTCTATTCACAACTCAACAAGATTGAAGGAAGTTTGCGGGAATTACAAAGACTGAACCACCTGAGAGAATCTCAGACTTATTCCATTGAAGTTCTGGAAATCATTTGAATTTGAAATTCATTAACACATTTATTTTGTATTGATTCCTTTTATGACGAGGATGTATTAGCACTCCATATTGGGGCTGTCAAAAGTTGTTTTCTACATAGGAGGAGCTTGGTTACTCTGTAGTTACATGGGAATTGTAAGTTTGAACCTTGTGTATTAAAATCTTTTTGACTGGATGAGAAGCTGGATGTTTGCTTATATTTTCATGTAGAATTCCATTATGCGATCATGAGAACTTCCTAAAATACTACAATTCTTGGCTAAATATGAGATGGTTGTGGCAGAAGTGCTGGGGCCATAACTTGCTGTGTTGGGCTGTGTAACTTGGAAAGAGCTGCACACACAGTTAAAAGGCTCGAGTCACTTTGGAATGTGACATGTTTCAGTTGTATTTATACACTGTCAGTACCAAAAGTATGTAGAAGTCTAAAAAACAAAAAAAATCCTTGCAGTGGCAGCTGAATATTTATACAGAGGGACTTCTTGGAACTGGTAGTAGTTGCTTTCAATATTTTTGACAAGAAAAGCTGTCTTGAATTTAAAATAAGAACATTCTTACCAGAATCAGTTGTTTTCTGTAAGCACTTTTTTAACTACTGAACACCTCAACTTAACGTGACCTATACTGCTTGAATTCTAGCATTTCCAAGTATATCTTAGATTGGTTTTGACTATCTTAGAAATACAAAGCAATGAACTAAAGTTTTATATAAACAACATTCGTTGAAGATTTTACAGGTATCTCTTGAATTATTCTTGTGATGAGGCATTCACTTAAAGCTGGCTTGTTACAAGATACTTGTGGGACTATTCATCTGGAATTGGGAAAAATGGGACAAAAGCATAATGCTGGATTTCCTGGAGTCAAGTATAAGATGGATTGTTGGGGACAAGATAATCAGTATATTTTCAAAACAGCAAATACAATGTTATTTTTATTTATTTTTACTAATGATGTGCTTGAATATTAGTAGAATTCAGCATATCGGTATATTGATATACTTTGGTTTTCATCATCTAAATAAAACAGCAATTGGAACTACATTGAATTACCTCAGCAAAAGTCATGTAAGCTCTTCCTTCTTACACCTGACTTCCAGTCTGCTGCTGAGCTCTAGTGTAATGTTACGCAGCGTGCTGTGGTGTCTTCGAAAACTGTTTGTGGAGCTAAATTGAGAGCTTAACACCTGAATGCTATTCCAAACACAAGTTATGAAATAGTTTGGAGCGAAGGACTGGACAAAAGCATCTCAATAATTTGAGCAAGAGCATATACTCACTCCTGCTGAATGCCATTGAGCTGTAGGTTAAGTTCTTTCCCTTATACTTGGAGAAAGGAACCCACCCAGACGACATCTTGGAACAACTGGGCTATTCATCTTCTCCAAAGTGCCTTGTGAAAGGAGGCTTTTTCTCCATCTGTCCTAAGGATGGAAGCAGGGTAGGGCCTCCACCCAAAAATTCCTCTTCCTGCTGTATTCAATTCACTTACAAATATGCTCATTTAACTCTACCAGCAGACTCCAAATAGGAACTCCAAGTTCCAAGTCAGTATGTTCTACTCTGAGTGGAATGGACATATTTTGGGGTTGGGGTTGATTTCTCTGTACTGAGCTGTGTCTTGGAAAGGACTAATTTATATTCTGTCCCTGAAGGTAACATACATCTCTGTGTGCCTGTTTCTCCACCTATAAAATTAAAATTATTAAGTCCGATTCATTAAGCACTTCCACATCACCAATTGATAAGGGATGCAATTAAGAGACCAGATACTCTGGTTCACAGTTCAGAAGCACATGATTCTCAGCACCTTTGATTACCACACATACACAAAACCCACAGTATTTTGGAGGTGATAATGCTCTCACAATGCTGCAGGCTGTATGATTGGTGCAGTAGGTACACTAGGCACCTCTGCTAGATTCTCAGTGTATAGATGGCAGAATGCACAGGTGCTTTTTCCCATGATACCAGAAGGAGATAATGGAAAATGTGTGTCTGTGTATTCATGTATTTAAAGAGTTACCACAATCCTCTGCAACCTTGTTAAGAGGTAGCAAAAATCAGCCTGACATAAGCAATCTAAAGGTAACTTGGAAAGGTTCAGAATACAAATTGAGTAGAAAGGTGTAAATGGGGTTAGGCAATGTTGGCTGCCGCTGTGTGTATCATCCTGTGCTTAGACCAGGGCTTTGAGCCTGTGCAGCTGCAACACTGAATATAAAATAGCTGCAGATAAAAAGCTAGATATAGAGTGCAAATTGGGCTAAACCCTGCTGCCAGTGTTGTGTGCTTGATGCTGTAGGAGGTTTGTGGGTCTAATGAAGTGCTCGGCCTGAGCAACAAGTTAATGAACAAAAGGACTTCAAAAATTCCTATTGAAAAATACAAATTAAATGACACATTGGACATGTTGCTGCCATGTTTGTGCCATGACCAGTGTTGGGTTTTACCTTGCTCAGAAGCAGGAGATTGAAAGAAATGAACATGTAAACAGACTGATTTTCCAGTGGTAAGACTTGTGTCTCTCTGAAGTCCTGAAGTTGTCTCGATCTAGCAATGAAAAGGAAAGCTGGTTTTAAGAAGTACAAGATGTTTGTGTGCCTTGGGCTTTCGGTTTGTACTGCTTTTGCTTATGACACTGATACCCTGAATTCAAGTGGCAGCATTGGAAACCCAACTGTGCAACTGTTTCTGTTGATTTTTAGTTCTGTGTGGGCTCTGGCAAATGAGACAACCAGAGAGAATACAAAGCAGACAGAGCCCATGTCTCTCCTAGTGCTCCAGAGAACTGTGGAAACAGAACAGAGAAAGTGGATGGACAAAACAGTGATGCTGGGCCCATATGTGATCAGTGTTTGCTTTACACGGGCGATGGCTGTGCAAGGGTGAGCTTTAAAAGGGGTTTAACAGGTAAGGAGTCAAAGGAAGGCCAGAGATGAGTGTCAGTGGTCAGGGGAGCTGCTTCATGCTGATGGTGGAGGGAAGCCTCTCCCGAGGGGACACCCGGGGTTCTGATTTGGGCGGGGAATGAAAACCCCCGTGGGGAGCCCCTGCCCGGGGCCCGGCGCGTACCTCGCTCAGAGCTTTTCCGGACGGGCCCGTGGGCTCCCTCGAGCTCTGTGGGGAGAAGGTGAGTCCGGGGACAAGGCCGGCTAAGGGAGCGGCGGTGTCGGGACCGTGAGCTAAGGCGGGAGGGGAGGGGAGCCAGCTGCCGGCGGAGGGGAAAGAGATAAGCGGAGCATAACGGGGCGAGGAATGGTGCCGGTCCTCGCGGCCGGTGCCGGGTTCGGATTCGGGAAGGGGTCGGTGCCGATGCCGGCGCCGGCGTTCGGTGCCGGGGTCGAATCCGGAGCCGCTGTCGGGTCGATGTTGGTACCGGGGTCGGATCCGGTCCGGGTTTGGTGCCGGTGTCGGGTTCGGGGGTCGCGGGGCCGCCCCGTCGCGGCGGCTCCCTCACGGCCGCGGCGGGCGCGCCCCCT